AGGCTCAACAACCTGGCTTAAAAATCACGGCAGTATCACCTCCCACGTGTCCAGAGGTTGTGCAGACCCCAGGGCCCATTGCATCAGAAGTCCCATGATGCTGTCACGAACCCAGCTTCTTCCCATCTCGGCTTCACAGTTCAGACATCTCTTAAGATTAGTTGACCTTGGTAGTCCGTGGTGGCTATCAGTGGCCATCAAAAAGCAGCATATTTTCTTGCTCAGCCTTGGGAGAAAGAAACCTCTCCCAGTAGTCCCACCCTTCAGTCTAATTGGGCCAACTTTGTTATTGTTGTTGTTAGTGCGTTGAGTGAGTTGTGACTGCTAGTGACACTGTGTAAAGTTTCCAAGGAGCAGTTGGTGGGTTTGAACTGCCGATCTTGTGGTTCGCAGTCCAGTGCTGATCTTACAGTGCCACACCAGGAGTCCAACTTTGTTATTATAGGCTGTTTATTACTGATGGGTTTAGCTTTAACAGGTAGTCCTGGTGTGGCACTGTGGGTTTAATGCGCTGGACTACAAAATTGGTTTAATCCATAAGGTCGGCGGTTCAAGCTCATCATTCACTCCTAGGAAACCCTATACAGGGTCTCTATGGGTCGGAACCGACTTGACGGCACTCAACAACAACAGCAACAATCCTGGAGCTAAGGATGGCGTCAACTTCCTTATGGCCAGTATTCTTTACACTCAAGTCCTGTGAAACTGCCTGCAGCCCCCGTCACAAAAACACCAGGGTTTTTGGTACCCTCACCTAACAATACTTACACACATACACCAATCTCTAGGCTGACTTCTCTACCTCGCTCATTGGGATTTAATTAGATGGACTGCTTTTAGTAAACTTCTTTGTTATTGTTGTTATGTGCTATTGAGTCAGTTTCAACTCATATCAACCCTGTTTAAGCAGAAAGCCTCATCTTCTCCCAGTGATTAATATGCTCTTATAAAATTGCTTGTCCCGCCACCACCTCCCCAGTACATCCTTCCCACTTCTCTGAAATTTTAGCATACATTTCCATTTCTATAGTTAAGCACACTGAAACATTTCATATTCCCAATTTGAATTTGCTATAAAATCTACCTTGAGTTTGTTTTACATTTTCTTGTCTAGTTCTGGGTCAGCTATATAAGGACCTGGGAGTTGGTTAAAAATCCAGATTCCTAGACCCTGTACCCAGAGACTGGGATTCAGTAGGTCAGAGGAGTGGCTCAGACAACAGTATTATTAAAGTTCTTTGAGAGTGTTTATTTAACAGCAGCCCTGGTGGTGCGGTGAAAATTTGAACTCACCAGTCTCTCCGTAGGAGAAAGATGTGGCCGTCTGCTTTTGTAGAGACGGATGTTAAATGCCATTGAGTCAATTCCAACTCACAGTGACCCTGTATGGGGTTTTCCAAAGAGCAGCTGGTAGTTTTGAACTGTTGACCACATGGTTCCCAGTCCAGTCCTTATCCTATAGTGCCACATCAGGAGTCCCATAAAGATTACAGCTTTGTAAACTTTATGGGACGTTTGTACTCTATCCTCAGGTCATTATGAATTGGAATGCCCTCAACAGCAATGAGTTTGATTTTTTTTTTGGTTTGGAGCATTGCTCTAAGTTAAAGTGCAGGTATTTCGAGAGTATTTTTCTGTCCACTTTAGAAATAAAGGCAAGTAAATGTGGAAAGCTGTCTTTAAGCATGTTGTTGGGGGTCATCAAGTCAGTTCTGACTCAGAGCGACACCATGTGACAGAAAAGCAGGGCTGCCCCTTAGAGATTCTTAGGCGGCCATCTTTAGAAGTGCAGATCACTGGGTCTTTCTCCTGCAGAGTCACTGGGTGGGTTCATACCACCAGCCTTTTAGTTGTTTGTTGTAACTGCTGTGACGTGTAAAGTAAATCATTTCAGATTGTTGTACCAGCGGCTTCAAAAATTTTATGGGAAAAAATGGAATGAAAACCACATTTGCAGTAAGTTTATGGTTCCATGTTTCGAATTTCCTTGAGCAAGCTGAGAAAGAGAGAGAGAGAAAAGAGGCAAAACAATCAATCCCATCAAATTATGAAATAAAAATAGAGCAATCATTCCATTATGTCTATGGTTCATGTTGTTGTTGTTGTTAAGTGCCGTCGAGTCGGTCCCGACCCATAGCGACCCTGTACAGGGTTTCCGAGGCTGTAAATCTTTACAGGAGCAGAAAGCCTCATCTTTCTCCCGCGGAGCGGCTGGTAGTTTCGAACTGCTGACCTTGCAGTTCACAGCCCGATTCATAACCACTACGCTACCAGAGCTCCTTCTGTGGTTCATAGTGTGATTACAAAATTTGGCCATGAACTTAATCTGTTGGATACCTCCACATTCTTTTAACTTAGGTGTTAGCCCAGGGAAGGAAGCAATATTTTCCCATTTCCAAATGGGCCCGAATAATTAGGGTTGTACAGGAGTTTGTTCTGTCTCCTCATACATCGACCTGGTATTGTAGTTCTTCCAGGAATGGTGTACCCCAAGGTTGGTTTGAACCACAGGGTTGGCAGTTGAAACTCACCAACCACTTCCCGAAAACCCTATACAGGGTAGATGTGAGTCAAAACTGACTCTATGGCACTTAAAAAAGCAAAAAACATTTACTGTAAGTTTCAGGTAATTATATAGCACCCAATATTGTGCCATATTTTGAGCAAATTGCCAGCCTCAGATCAATAAAGCTTCTTTTTACATATCTGTAAATTGAAACTAAGAAATGAAACTTCTGATCAACATTCACCCAGAAATAATTAGTTTGAATCTTCTAAAAAAAGATCACATTGACTGAGACTGTAGATGGTGTATATTTGAACCTGGCATACTTGTTTGAATACATGAAATGAGTTACTTTTATTATTCTCTGTTGCTTTCAACAAGAGCCAGAACATACCGTGTCTTCATCACACTGTGAACCATAGTATTATAATGGAATGATTGCTCTATTTTTATTTCATAATTTGTTGGGATTGATTGTTTCGCCTCTTCTCTCTCTCTCTCTTTCTCAGCTTGCTCAAAGGAATTCAAAACATGGAACCATAAACTTACTGCAAATGTGGTTAATTATCATGATATCATTGAATAATTAATGAAATTGATCATGCTGACTCTCATTGTGATTTGTAATTCTACTTTTTCTGGAAAAGCTGTTTATGAAAATTTGAAAAACATGAGTAATTGCCTGTTGCAAAAAATATAAACATTAACAGAAGTCACATCAAAAGAAAAAAAACAGACTCTTCCGTATACCAGTCACCCCCACCTTAACAATTTAGAAATATTTCCTTTTCCTTGACCCATTTCAGTTCTTATTCATACATTATTTTTGCAGTTATAATCTAATCATGTTATGGAGACATTCTCTTCTGCTTATATGAGGGCTTCCAAAATGTTTGTGGAAAAATGGAATTAAAAGATAATTGGAAAAAAATAAAAAAAGATAATTGAATTTTTCCATGAACATTTTGAAGCTCCCTCATATTACACTTCACTTTAGCAGCATTTTTTTTTAAGTTGCCAATATTCTTTTAGCTATTTGAAATGTCTTTAATACTATGAGAGGGCTGGCTTCCAGTGGAATGTAAAGATCATGGAGCTTTTCCATGAAATTTTATAAAGTTGTAAGTAATCAGACTGCAAGGTGAGTTTGACCCACCAGGTCGGTGGTTCAAACTTACCAGCTGCTTCTCAGAAACCCTACACAGGGTCACTATGAGTCAGAACCGCCTCGATGGCACATAAAAATAACAATACTGTGAAACATCAAGAATATTGGAAAGTTCAATTGTACAATGGTTCCATCACTCAGTGATCTTCTTCCTCCTCCCCACAAGTAATTAACTTACTGTCAAATCAACTCTAGTAGTTCCATTAAATTCATCAAGGTTCTGAGTTTTGCCATGAGGGTTACTTTGATCCCTTTTCACTTTCATTCTTCTTCTTCTTTTTTTTAATATCAAATTATTTCAAATTTTATTTGTATTCTTGTGAGCACTGATGTGGGGAATGCCCTTGCTTCATTTTTACCTTAAGCACATTTTCTTTTTTCTTCAGCAGTTGATTATTGTTGACTAAACTGATTACTCAAAGGGAAACAGTTGTTTTCTACCCCGAAATTTGACCACCAAAGAAAACAAAAGCACTGCCTTGTGAACTTGGAGCAGCCACAATTTCTCATACTGAATTCTATCACAGAAACTCAAAGACTACCAATAGGGAGATGAGAAATCCGACTGCCTTAAGCATGGTGCAAACAGGGGATTTTGAAGAGTAGGACCCACTGTTTAGCAAAAGACTTTTCCCGAGGCGTACAGTGGCCAAACAAAAGGTAGTCTTTGTTCTTCAGGATGTGATGAATATTGCCTCATCATTTAATTTTAGAATTCCTATAATAAAGATGCTTGCATCAGTTCAAGGCACATGGTTTGAAATCTGAGAACGCCGACTTTTTCCTTTTGCAATTGCAGAAGTAGCATAGCTGTGTTACTGAAAGACGGGAAAATGATGAACTGGAAATCTCCCATTATCTATTTTGTGGAAGTTGTTTCCAGTTTTTTTCTTAGTACTTTTTTTTTTTTTAAACGTTTTTGTAACTGTGTTTAATATACTCTTTGAGTCACTGAACATTACTTCATATGCTTTTTTCCTTATGTTTCCAGTTTTCATAAGACATTTGTAATTTCTGCATAATATTCCATTCTCTGTTATTTCATGCTTGTCCTAATCATTCCCCCTGTTATTGGGCATGTGGAATACATAAATACTATTAAAGTGATAGTTATTGTGACTGGTCCACACAGCATTAACAAGTGATTGTCTAAGTGTCGTAGGGACCCTAAACCTGCTATGATTCATCCTTTCAACTTGTACTGTATATTTTGTACTGAATTCCTTTCTGCTTGTTTTCTTTTTATCCTTTTGGTTTGTGTTTTTGGGAGGAGAGGGCTGGTCATGATCCATTTCATCAGTAGAATTTGTGTTTTTCTTTCCTCAGTGGTGAAAGTGGTGCTGGGAAGACAGTAGCAGCCAAGTACATCATGGGTTACGTCTCCAGAGTATCTGGAGGAGGCCCCAAGGTCCAGGTGAGTTGGCAGTGGTCCATTTAGAGACCCTGAGCCATGTGACATCTAAGAGGTTCTGTTTACTGCTTCAAAATAAAATTTATAGTTATTTAAAATAGAGCATTGTTGCTATAACCAAGAAGCTTGATATCTGTAAAGAAATTGTGTAAGATGGAGATACCAAATATATAGTGAGTCCTGGTGTGGCGCTGTGGGTTAATGTGCTTGACTATAAGGTTGGTTTGAACTGCAAGACTGGCGGTTCCAGCTTCCCATCCGCTCCTTGGAAACCCTATACAGGGTTGCAATAAGTCAGAACTGACTCAACGGCACTTAACAATACAAACTGATCAGAAAGTCAGCACTCTAAAATGAATATAAACAAAGGACATGAAAGGTATCTCGTGGAAAAATAACTTAAAATGACTCATAAAACATGAAAATATCCCCGCATTAATAGCACAGTTTAAAAAAAAAACAAAAAACAGAAAACCAGAAATGTTGGTAAGAGTGTGGAGAAACTCCTATACTGCTGGTTGGACTGTAAAATGGTGCAACCACTGTAGAAAATGGTATGGTATTTTCTCAAAAAAGTTGGAGATAGAAATAACTGTGTGGCTCAGCAATCCCTCTACTAGGTATATGTCTTCATGAAATAAAAGCTGTGGCACGAATAGATATATGCACACCCATGTTCATTGTAGCACTCCACACAGCAAAAAGATGGAGACAGCCTAAATGTCCATCAACAGAAAATTGGATAAACAAACTTTGGTACATACATAAAACAGAATCCTGTGTAATGTTGAAGAAAAATTATGGTTCCCTGTTTTGGTGATAAATCCTTAAAATTCCATATTTATTACAGTTCATGTTAATTGGAATTAGTTAGACTGCAGTGCTTGACAGCTACATGTGGCTTGTGGCCACCATATTGGACAATGAGTTTAACTCTAGAGCCTAGTTTCCTGTGGTTCAGTCAACTTGCTTTTCTAAGTCACGTGATTGTACCATAACCTTAGTGAGCTGATATGAGGACAGGAATTTAGGATGTTACTTTGTAGGGGGATGTCTCTTTACCTAAATTTATTTTCTTTTTTCCCCGACATACTTAAAACATGCCGCAAAATTCTCTTGGATGCCATTGGTAGCTTTATCAATAGATGTGGCTGGCTCGTTGGATGGATACATGCATAAACATTTTCAGTGAAAAAAAAAAAAGTCAGTAATTTAAAAAAAGGAATTTTTTGCCCTCTTTTTTTAAATAATTTTTTTTTAAAGACCCTCTCTTTTATCTTCTCCATAAAAGAAGCTGTTTTTGTAAATGGTACAGGTATACTTGACCAGGAAACAAAAAATGTAAAAGGACAATAAACATCTGCTGCTGCTTGTCTTCAAGTCGGTTCAGACTCCTATCAGTCAACCCAGTACAGGGTTTCTGAGCCTATCAATCTTTATGGGAACAGAAAACGTCATCTTTTTCCCACAGAGTGGCTGGTGGATTCGAACTGCTGATGTTGTGTTTAACAGCCCAATGCATAATGTCTTATACTGCCAGGGCTCCTTAATGAAGGTCTACACAATCAAAATTAATTTTACAAAGAAAAGCAAAGCTCCTGTAAATCCATGAGTTTTTAAAGGAACATCGGTAGCTTAGTAGTATGTTTCTAAGCTTTGAAACTGATCCATGGAAGGACCACCCAGAATTTGCCTTTGGTGCCATTGCTAATGACAAATCCTCAATTGGGGTGGAATCATAGTTCTCATTTCTTGTGGCAGTTTCTATTCTGAAATGTCAATAGGTTGACAAAGAATCAGTTCAACGCTTATGTAGTTAACTAGTAGTTAGGTTAGTGCCGTATCTAGTCCTATCTGTTACAGACTGAGACCTTGTAGGCAGCTTGCAGACGTTGAATACTGAGCTTCCTCTTCCTGTTTTCCTATGAGCAAAATGATACAGAGGTCTTGGCTTGGAATTAGTCAGTAGCTTAGGAGGCCAAGCCAGAAGACTTGTCATTTCTGGAACATGTTTAACCATAGAATGGGAATAATTAGCAGTACAAGGAATGACTCATTTGTTCATCGGCCTCTCCAACATCAAATCCTATCTGTTAAGCTGTCTTATGACCATAGTGTGTTTTGCACACTTTTCAGTTTGGCACAGAAGTGTGGTGTGAGAAAACCATAGGCCAGGGATTATTTCACACCATCTGCTATTGACCCTGGCTGCTTAAAGTGTGAACTTTCAAAGCTTAACCAGCAGCACCAGGGAACTGGTTAGAAATGCAGCTTCTCTGGCCCCACCCCAGACCTACTGAATCAGAATCTGTGTTTTAACCAGATCCGAAGGTCCTTGATGCACATGAAAGTTTGAGAAACATAAGGCTGTGTTTCCACAGCCTTTTGAGGGAAGAGGAACACTTTAAATTTCCTGAGGTCTTCAGAAGACTCTCACTTGCAATAGAGAAGATGGAGGTGGGATGGGAAAGGTGAGTGGAGTACCTGGGAAAGGGGTATTGATAGTAAAGACTCCATTTGTTTTTGCTGTGTGTCATTGAGTCGGTTCTGATTCATAACGACCTTGCTTAGGGTTTCTGAGGTGTGACTGGTGGATTTGAACTTCCACCATTGCAGTTAGCAGTCCAGTGCTTATTTATCCTATCGTGCCACACCAGGACTTCATAAAGAACAGCAAAGAATTATTCTTCCAGCTTCACTTTCCTTCCTCTATGATTCCCTGTGCTCTTAGGAGTGTAGACCGAGACTGCAGCAATTTGGAAACACAGTCCAGAAGCATTTGTCGATCCATATGTCAAACTGGATTTACTAGCTGAGTTAACTTATCTCCTGGTGGCAGTCTGGCACCAGGTAGTCTTGCATGAAGACAAGGGAGTTAGGAGACCCAAACAGACCACCCCGGCCAGTGGAAGAAATCCCGCACTAGACATTGGACTTGAGGCCACATTCAGAAATCAGGTTCTCAGGGAAAGTTTGGCTTCTGCTGTGCAGCAGGTGTTCACACCTCTGTAACTTCTGTCGTATTTCTCATCACAGCACGTGAAAGACATCATCCTCCAGTCCAACCCGCTACTGGAGGCCTTTGGGAATGCCAAGACGGTCCGCAATAACAACTCCAGTCGATTCGTGAGTTTCTTCTCTGACTTAGAGAATGTCATCTGATTGTATATGATTGAATGTTGGTGTTCTGGATTTCAGTTTGGTGTCTCAGAGGAAATGGGAGCTTTTTCTCATTTCCTCAGGTGGCCTGTTTTTCAGTCTTTTATTCATGTTATAGTAGTGTGCTATCAGGCTTCAGTTTGCCTTTTGACTGAAGTAGTTTGTGAACTTCATGATGCAAGCAAGATTATTTTGAATATAATGCTCAACTTGAGTTGCCTATGTTTTAGTTTCCTAGGGCTGTTGTGACAAACTATGACAAAGCGGTGGCTTTAAAGAACAGAAATTTATTTCCTCCCCATTCAGGAAGGTAGAAGTTCAAATCTAGTGCTTCCTAGCAATCCTTGGCCTTTCTTGGCTTGTGGATGCATCTCCGCATGCCATTTTCCTCCTTGTGCCTAGCCCTTCTTGTGTGTTCTGGTGTATGGCTGTGGTGGCTGTGTGCCGTGGAGTCGGTTCTGACTCATAGCGACCCTGTACAGGGTTTCCAAGGCTGTAAATCTTTATGGGAACAGAAAACCTCATCTTTATCCCACGGAACAGCTGGTAGTTTTGAACTGCTGACCTTGAGGTTTGCAGCCCGATTAATAACTGCTATGCTACCAGAGCAAAGGAGCCCTGGTGGCACTATGAGTTAGGTGTTGGGCTGCTAACCACAAGGTCAGTGGTTCAAATCCACCAGCTGCTCCTGGGTAGAAAGATGAGACTGTCTGTTCCTATAAAGATTTACAGTCAGCTCAATGGCAGTGAATTTTTTTTTTACTTACACAGGGGATTAGGACCCACCCTACTCCATCTTTAAAGACATTCTTTTCAAACAAGATCACATTTACAGCTGTTGGGGCTAGGTCTTCAGCACATCTTCTATGGGGAAGCAGTTTAATCCATAACACCATATTAGAGAAAATAAAGATGATGTTAGCTTTGGTCCTAGAAGACTCGGCTTCGTGACACAGAGAAAAGACCTTCTTTCCCAAAGAAGTGAGCAGAGCTGGTGGCCATCCCAGGTCCTGTGGCCGAGCAATAATGAGTTTGCAGCCTGGAATTGGTCTGTGGACACAGACAGGATTGAATACTTTGATTCTCACCTGACCCTGACCCTGACCCTTTAAGAGAAACTTCTAACACTTGATCAGTTAGAATAAGCCAGTTGTCTGTGTTGTCTACAATTTTCTCCCTACCCTACCCATCAGCTTTCTGCGTATTTCTAATATATATTGATATAGCATAATAACAACCAAAAAACCTAAACCTAGCCTTACAGAGTGCCACTTGACTGGTCCACTTACTCATGGTAATGGAAATGTCAGCTGAAGGCATTGTTGTGAATGCCCATTTAAGTAAGCTTCTGTCTGGGTGTCTTCTAAGAGGGTAAACTGAAAGTCTGACAAGGACAAATACGAATCTAGTCTTGAAAACAAAAAGAACCTAATGTTTAGCAAGTAGCTTTGATTTGTGTAGACTTTACATCTTATCTCGTTGCTGTCACTAAAGCATTCAAGGAGCTATCTGTGAGGCTGATTCTTGACCATTTTTAAGTAAACAAATGAGAATTTTATAGAACAATTTCTTTTTTAACGCTCTATTTTGAAGCGAGCCAGTATTTCCGAGAGACGTGTTAGTAAATTCTCATGCAGTAATTATCAAGTTCCCTAAAAGATTCGTGTCTATCAGACTTGCCCTCACTTTCCCAGTTGCCAGTATCATCTAACTAATTACTCGTATGTTCGTGTCTCTGCATTATTTTGCTTTTTGTTGCTATGTGCTGTGGAGTTGGTTCCAACTCATCGCGACACTGTATAGGGTTTCCAAGGAGCAACTGGGGAATTAGAACTGCCAACCTAACAGTTCAAACCCACCTTGTGGTCCAGTGCTAATCCTACAGCACACCAGAACTTCCATTTTTTTATTTTGCTTCTTGTTATTTAGTGTCATCGAGTAGATTCTGACTCATAACGATCCTGTATATGGTTTCTGAGGACTGACTGGTAGAGTTGAACTGCCAACCTTGCAGTTCAAACTGACGTGCTTATCCTACAGCACCACACTAGAACGCCTTATTTTGGCTTAGTGCCTACTTTATATTAAAGTTTCTAGATCATAAAACAGGAAAGAAGATGTGAATTAATTTTCCACTTGACCTTTATTGCTAATTGTACATCTTAATCTGCCTTGTAAAAATGCTAAGACTTGATCAGACTTAATTCTCTAGCTATCTATTCCCCTTTGATTGTCTTTTTTAAAGAAGACAAAAACGAATTAAGTCAATATTTTCCTTGATTTTTCTATTATAGATGGTTCTTTAGACTAACTTTGCTGAAGGATACATCCATTTTAAAACCAGGATTTATTATTAGTTGTTGTTAAGTGCCGTCAAGTTGGTTTCAACTCATAGTGACCTTATATAGGGTTTCTGTGGAGCAGCTGGTGAGCTTGAACCCCCGACCTTGTGGTTCAAACTGATTTTGCAGTCCAGCATGTTAACCCACATCACCATGCCAGTAATATTACAAAATTCCGTCCAATTCTTTTGGAAAAGTAAGGCGCCCTGGTGGCATCATGGTTAAGGATCAACTGCTAACTGATAAGTTGGCAGTTTGAACACAACAGCAACTCCACAGGAGGAAAGAGCTGGCAATCTGCTTCCATAGAAATTATAGCCTAGAGAGCTCTGTGGGACAGTTGCCACATGGGGTTGGTATGAATTGACTCCACCCCAGCCAGCAGCAACCACTAATGTGAAGATGAGGCTGCGCCATTCACACACACAAAGTCCTGGCTGATGGAGCCAGAAGGCACTCACTCTCAATAATGATGAGAGAAATGCAAATTATAAGGAAATATCATTTTCTGTCTCTTAGGATGGGCAGTCTATCAAACAAGGTTGATCAAAATTTAAAATGTGCATTGACTTTTACCCAGCAATGCTAGTTTTAGAATAAATTATGTAAGTGTCCTGTTAATAATTGCTTATATAAAAAGTATTCCTTAATATATTGTTAAATGAAGGAAGAAATAAGGTCTAAAATAATGCATGGGATATGGTCCCATTGTTGTTTTTAAATGGGCACACAATGTAAAATGATTATAGTTTATATAAATCAAAGTATGACAATATTATTACATGGACTGCTCAGTAGAGGAAGGTGGAAGTGTACCAGGCAAAGATTATGGGCTTTACTTATCAAAATGAGCATGTAGTACTTTTTTTGGTGATTTCTTGAAATCTTACTTTGTTGTTGAGAATATGTGTAGCAAACATACACCAATTCAGCAGTTTCACATGTATAATTCTGGCTACATTCTTCAAATTGTGCAACTTCCTTATCTTAGTGGTTCCTTCCTTGTTACCATGAAGCCACTGCCCCCTAAGGGTCCTGTCTAGTTTTTCAAGTTTGTGTTATCAATTTGATCCTATAGAGCCTGAGCATAATGCTCAAGGTAAACCTTTTTTCACTAAATAATACTTTTTTCACTAAGCTAAAATACTATTTTGTTTTAAGAAGACTTCAAGGCATATTTTTGGGTTCAGGTTTAAAGAGATCTGAGGGCAATGGTTTCAGTTTCAGTATTTTATCCACCCGTCTTAGGTCAAGAAAGTATCCAGAGAGGGAGAGCGATTGTGTGCTGAAGACCTGAGGGGTACGGAGGGGAAGGATTGCATGGAGGGGATTGTAACCATGGCAATGAGAGACAATATATGATAGAATGAACGTAAAACTAATGTTCTCCCATGTAAACTATCACATAACTCACAATAAAACATTTAAAAAAAAAAGAAAGAAAGAAAGTCTAGAGTCTGTGAGGATTTGAAATTCTGTTCTGCCTTTTTCCATTTGTGATCAAATTCTTCTGTGGAATCTTTAACCAAAATGTTCCTGAAGAGTAGTCAGGCAGAGTCTAGTTCTTCTGGTCTTGTGGGAAAGGAGACAGTAGAACAGATGTACCCAGTACCTTATTAGGCCAATTAACTGGGATGGCTGGCCCTTGAAACCATGACCGTAAACCTCCAAACCAGAGAACCAAATACCATGAAGGTGTTCAGATGTACATAAACAGCCTTAGTAGATACTCTTTTTGTGTTTGTCATTGTTGTAAATATACCTCTCACACAGTCTTTACCAGCTCACCTTTTTCCAGGTGTGCAATTACAGTAATCGGCTGTATAACTCTACTCTTCAATCCATCACCATGAATCCTTCTTTATCTCTGTACACTTGCCTTTTCTTGGCTTTTTACAAAAGTGAGGTCATACAACATTTGTCCTTTTATGACTGACTTATTTTGTTGTGCATAATGTCTTCAAACTCCATCCATACTGTGGTGGTGGTGGTGGTTATGTGCCATAGAGTCAGTTCTGACTCATAGCGACCCTGTACAGGGTTTCCGAGGCTGTAAATCTTTATGGGAGCAGAAAGCGGCATCTTTCTCCCGTGCAATGGCTGGTAGTTTCAAACTGCTGACCCTGGGGTTAGCAGCCCAATTCGTAGCCACTACGCTACCAGAGCTCCTTGCTGTAGTATATCTTTATCCTATTGTTTGAGTAGCTATATAGTGTATTTTCAGAAGAAAGATGAGGCTTTCTGCTCTTGAAAAGATTACAGCCTTGGAAACCCGACACAGAGTTTCTAGGAGTGCTGGTGTGGCGTTGTGGGTTAATACATTGGACCGCAAGGTTGGTTTGAACTGCAAGATCGGTGGTTCAAACTCACCAACCACTCCTTGGAAACCCTATACAGGGTCTCTATGAGTCACAATGGCTCGATGGCACGTAACAACAACAACATGAGTCAGAAGTGACTCTACAGCACACAACCACCACCCCCATAGTATATTTTAAAATCAGGAAGTGTGTGTCATCTCTCTTTGTTCTCTTTCAGCATTGTTTTAGCTATTCAGTTTCTTGCCTTTCCATATAAAGTTGAGGTTTGGTGTTTCTGTTTCTGTAAAAAAGACTGTTGGAATTTCTATAGGGATTGTGCTGAATCTCCAGATCACTTTGGGTAGCATTGGCATCTTAACAACATTAAGTCTTTCCATTCATGAGCTTGGAACATCTGTCCATTTATTTAAGTCTTTTTAAATCTTTTTCAGCAGTGTTTTATAGTTTTCATTGTACAAGTCTTTCATGTCCTCAGTTAGATCTATTCATAAATATTCTTTTATCTTAAATGGAATTATTTCACTAACTTTCCTTTCAGATTTCTCATTGCTGGCATATAAACCCCAACAGATTTTTGTTTGTTGACTTTGCAGCCCTGTCTGCAACTTTGCTGAATTCCTACATTAGCTCTACAAGATTTCTTGTGGATTCTTTGGGATTTTCTGTGAATAGGCTCATATTATCTGTGAACAGAGATCATTTTGCTTCTTTTTCACATGCAGTACTTTTTTAACCATGAAATTTATATTTTTTCATTTGTAAATATTTTCACATTTTAAAAAATTTGTTTTAGAAAGACACTATTTAAAAATAATACCAAGCACGCAACTTAAGAAACATTGCCATATCAATAAAACCAAAGCATCTTTCCATTTAACTATCAAAATGCAACATCATCTTCCTGGCATAAATTTCCCATCTTTCCCTCCCCTCCCCACCACTGCCACCACCACACTGCTATGTAGAAAGAACAGCAGTCCTTAAGCATTTTGATCTCTCATTAAAACAAACCCAAGTCAACTGTCATTGAGTCGATTCTGACTCCTAGTCACCTTGCATAGGATTTCCATGACTGCTCATCTCTATGGGAGTAGAAAGCCTCAGATTTCTCCCACGGAGCAGTTGGTGGGTTTGAACTGCTGACGTTACAGTTAGCACTCCAGGGCTTACTTACCTTACAGCGCCATCAGTGCTCCTTTGATCTTTCATTTTTGTTATTGCTCAGTGCCATCGAGTTGGTTCAAACCTATAGTGACACTGTATGGGGCTTCTGAGGAGCAGCTAGTGGGTTTGAACCACTGACCTTGCAGTCCAGCGCATTACCCTGCAGCACTACCCTGGGACTCCTTGACCTCGTATTAGGAGTTATTTATTTTATATGACAATTTCTAATAGTATATAAATATTTCTATTGGATTGGAGAAGTTCTGTATCTTGGCTAAACATAAAAGTCACCTGCGCACATTTTAAAGGACCCATATTTGGGCATCTGTCCTCAGGCATTCTGATTTACTTGGTGTGAGGGGCACCAGTCATCCGTCTATCTCAGTGGTTCCCCAAATGTTTCTGCCAAGATGGAGAACCACTGCTCTGAGAGAATGTAAATTTGTCATTTGCTACAGGAACTTTCTGGAAATCTGCTGTTCCTGGGTTTGGGGGGCTGTTTGGTTTCATTTTCCCTTAGTTAATGGAAAATTGGTGGAGGGGAAGGGCATCAAAAGTTCCTCTAGAAAGTGCCAAAAGGAAAAATGTGATGAAGTGCCACCTTAGGAAGTACACGGAAGGGTGTGCTTCCTGTGAACCACTGTGAACCACTGTAATTCAGGGTCGTAAGGGCTTGTGATCCTTTATGTCTTGTGCTTATGGGGTTTTGTTTGTCAGGGAACTATGACAAATAAACAATTAGAAGGTGGCCTTCTTTTGTAATCTTCTGACTTCTGAGCCATTATGTAACGTAACTGCAGGAACACCTTGTCCACTGGATATCGTAGGCCGTTGGAAAACCATTTTAAGATACCATCTTATTCTTAATGAATTTATAATATCTAGACACAGAATTCTAGGCATAGACTTGAAGCCCAACATGATTCAGCTCTGAGATTTATGAGTTTTACCAGCCTATACATTTTTTTTATAGATTTAATAAGAATACGTACATGTTGGGTAGGGTCTCCAGTTTGGCCTTAGGCCATACCATTCCGATGGCCACTTTTTCCTCCTTAGTTTTGTTTACCCTTCTGATCATTAAAGGCATATAAGTTTCTGAAGACTGAAGAGAAAATAGATTCCAGTGAGAAAAAGTTTTATCTCCTTAATCTGGATACATTTTCCAACTAAATTCTAAACTTTTATTCTTATGTTCCCAATTAGTTGCAACTGAAAGGGAAATAGTACCAATAATCACAACATGAACAAAAATCCCCACACTCATAACTAACTGGAAAGAATTTTATTCATAACCAAATATTTTTAATGTAGCTAATCATTTCAGAAGCTCCAGAGGTAGAAGCAATTGACTGCTTTTGCTCAAAACCTGATGTTTGCCAGAGAGAAGCTTTGCTTTCTCTGAATGAGGCCAACAGAGTTCATTCCTGTAAGATCAAGGCCACCCTATGATTTTGTCTAGTCTTTACACCTTCCTGGTTTAGAAGTCAATACCTACTGGGAGGAAATGGGCAGAGGATATAACTTTTCCTTATTTAGCCAAGCTAGAAGGGTAGATTCTCTCTTGCTCAGTATAGAATTGTGTGACTGGATGAGAGCATGGTTTATTGTCTGAAGGAAAAGATGAGGAAGTCTAGACCAGAACTGAGAATAATTCTGAATGTGTCTTTTTAAAAATGAATTTCCTTGAATTATATACTGTATCAAAAGCCTGTTTGGAATATCATGTTTTTTGTTCACCAACTATTGAAGGAAATCCTTAAACTTTTTTTTGCAGGGAAAATACTTTGAAATCCAGTTCAGTCCAGGTGGGGAGCCAGATGGTGGGAAGATCTCCAACTTCCTTCTAGAAAAATCCAGGGTGGTGATGAGGAACCCTGGAGAACGGAGTTTTCACATATTTTACCAGGTTTCCCTTTACATATTTTCTTTCTATTTCCTTATTCCTTCTCCACATTTTTTTTAATGTTTTTTTTTTTCTTCTCAGTTGTCAGATTTAGATAATCTAATCTAATAAAACAAGAAGTATTTATTACCATAGTATGTGCAAATCAGTATATAAAAACAATTGTGAATCTGCCTCTTTCCTCAAGGAAAATAAGTTCTAGTTGGAGTGATATGACAAAAAATTTCCAAAATATCCAAAGTATTGGCATAAGTTTTAAACACAGCACTGGGAGTGTTTGATTCTTTGCCAAATGGGAATTCATGTAGGGAGATTTGTCTAGGATAGAAAGAAGAGATTTAAGGGGAGATACAGTATTCTCTTAAATGATTACTTGGCTGGAACGATGACCGAAACAAAGGCAATGGAAGTAGGAGAGAGGAAAGGCAATCTGTGAGCCACACCTGAGACAGTTTGTAAGGGCAGAACTCTCTAAAAAGTGAATCGTTAGACAAAAAGCAACTAAGGTTGGGACTTTTCATGCCAGGTCAAAAAGTTTCAGCTTAGATCCTCAAAAACCGTGGAGAAATTTGGGACTAGCACAGTGTGCCGGTACTTTAAAAATTGTATTCCATCCTTCAACCATCATTTAATTCAAGTATTATGTTTTTTAAAAAATCATTATTCTAAGGAAATCATGATACTATAAATGGTTTTATGTTTGGGCTGTCATATTGCAAGCATACCTTGGCAATATTATGGGTTTGGTACCATGACACTGTAATATATTGAATATCATAATAAAGTGAGTCACAGAATTTGTTTGTTTCCCAGTGCATATAAAAGTTATATTTACCGTAGTCTACTAAGTATGCAGCTGTTGTTCAGTGATGTTGAGTCAGTTCCGATGCATGGCGACCCTGTATAGGGTTTCCAAGGAATAAGTTGGTGGATTTGAACTGCCGACCTTGAAGTTCAAACCAATATTTCAATTGAGTGCTTATCCTACAGTGCCACACCTATGAAAGAGTTTGAAATATTGTCTGAATTGCCAAAATGTGACATGAAGTGAACACATGCTGTTGGAAAAAGAGTGCCAATAGACTTGTTCAGCACAGGGGTACCGCAAACCTTCAATTTGTAAAAGAAAACACAATATCTGCAAAACATAATAAAACAAGGTATGCCTTAAAATACTAATGAAGATCAAAGATCACAGCCTTCAGTATGAATTGCACCTTAATTTAAAGAAAGCAAGAGTCTTCACCACTTACCCAATAAATACCATCATGATAAACAGAGAAGACTGATGTTGTCAACGACTTCGTTTTGTTTGGATCCACTATCAACACTCATGGAAACAGCAGCCAAGAAATCAAATGATGTATTGCATTAGGCATATCACATGATCTCTTTAAAGTGTTTAAGAGCAATGATGTCAGTTTGAGGACCGAGGTGTACCTGACCCAAGCCATGGTAGTATTTTCAGTAGCTTCATATGCATGTGTGAGTTGGACAATGAATAAGGAAGACTGTAGAGCAATCAATGCATTTGAGTTATGGTGTTACATAAGAATATTGAAAGTACTATGGAATCCCAGAAGAACAATCAAATCTGTGGTAAAACAAATATAGCTGCTTTTACCTTAGAAGTCAGGATGATGAGACATCGTTTTTCACATTTCAGACATATTATCAGAAGGGACTTGTCCCTGGAGAAGGACGTCATGCTTAGCAAAGTAGAGGGTCATCAAAGAAGCGGAAGTCCCCAACGAGATGGACTGACACTATGGCAGCAATATCAGGACGGAACGTAACAACAATTGTGAGGCTGGTACAGGACTGGACAGTGTTTGATTTTGCTCTGCATAGAGTTGCTGTGAGTCGGAACTGACATGAGGGCACCTAACAACAACAGGACCTTGGAAACTGTCTGTATCTCTAGAATGATGAAAAAATAAAAAGCCAGTATACAGAAGTAGTCTGAGGAGAAGGAAGAAAACCTTTCCCACTATTCACAAATCCAGGGAAAGGCTAGGATGACAAGCAACAGGGTCAAGCTCTGAGAGCTCTTGGGGCAATTGATGGGGCAGGAGCTTGGGAAGCATGAAAGGTCTATTGGACATGTCAGCTGCAGAGTAAGCAAGAGAAGAATTTCAGCAGAGTGCTAAGGGAAGAAGACTGAATGCAGGTGGTTGAGTTGTGGTGAAGATGTGGATTCTTTGTCTTGAAGAGGTTAAGAGAGTCAGGGGAAAACTTCTCAGGAAGGCAAAGAGCAATATGTGTTTGTTAATGGATCAAGAAAGGGGCTGTGTGATGTGGTGGGGAGGAGACTGAAAAAGAGGGAGGAGAGTTCTTCCTCAAACAATTCAAAAACAACAAAAAAATGAACAAAATGAAGGGGACAGTACAAAAAGATTTCTTTAAAACTTTTTATTCTGATTCGTCTGGACGTTTACAGGGCAAACTGGTTTTCAGTACAACATGATTTTGAGGAAACAGGGACAAAAACTCAGAAGTCTGGTTTCATGAGATGATTTAGAACTTCTGAATAATGGAGATATGTGGTCCCCTATGCTGGGCAAGATGCTATGGAGAACTTGGCAAAGATGACTAGTAGTTGTCAGGTTGGGTTGGAACTGGCTGGTCTTCTAGAACTGGCTTACACAAGCTATGATGAGCATTTTAACGTGTGTCCTGCAGTGAGATGCATGGGGGAGCGAGCGCCACTTTACAAAGCCATACAAAAGTGAAACAGGAGCTAAGTAATTATAATTTAGCTCGCTTTCTACTCTATAAAGCTTGCCCAAGTATAGCAATATAGTTCCTTATGTTGGACACAGGCAAATGTAAGAACCAGAATTTTCAGGGATGATCTGAGGTTATTACATAGAGATGAGATATTTGGAAACTCCATTATGTGTCCAAGGCTATGACCACCCCAGTTTTAGAAAACAAGGATTGAAAGGCTTGGGGCAGGTACTAAGAGGTGACTTTGGGAATGCATCATGGTCACATCAAGCCCATCCCATGTCTCTTCCTCCAGCTCATCGAGGGTGCCTCTGCAGAACAGAAACAAAGCCTCGGTATCACCAGCATGGATTATTATTATTACCTGAGCCTCTCTGGGTCTTACAAGGTGGATGACATCGATGACAAGCGGGAGTTTCAAGAAACTCTGGTAGGTGCAGATGCAAGGCCAGGCATTGCCCAAGGTAGAAAGGACAGTGAAGAAAACCAAGAGTAGCATGACATGTCCTTTCTGCTATGTTGTTGTTGTTGTTGTTGTTGTTGTTGTTATGAAGTGCCATCAAGTCGGTTTCAACCCATAGCGACCCTGTATAGGGTTTCCAAGGAGCATCTGGTGAGCTTGAACTGCCAATCTTGCGGTTCAAACGGCTTTGCAGTCTGACGCATTAACCCATGGTGCCACATCAGGACTCTATAAGTACTCCATGTTATAAAACACATGTGAAAACCAAACAAAACCGAGTTGCTATTTAGTTGATTCCAACTTATGGCAATCCCATGTTGAATAACCATATCCCCAGGTGCCTAAAGACCACTTTATGATTTGAGATCTGTGTAGAAAGCTGAATCACCATTACCCCTCTACAGGTGTTCTGGTAAACAGGCAAAAACTATTGTGGATTATGCATGCCTATTTGCTGATTAGCCTACATAATTTTAATTATTTTTTTTTTCATTATTTAGAGAATACTTTATTAGTTTCTGTAATCAAGCCCATAGCCTACATAATTTTTAAGCTGTTTCTTTAGAAGGCAAAGCAAAGACCAATCTTTTTTTTTTTTTTTTTTTTTAAATAACAACCATGATTGGAAGTCTTAATTCCAATATTCTAATCTTTCTTTCTTTCTTTTTTTAAGTTTTTATTGTTAATTGAGTGATAGTTTACATCGGAGTGCATCAGCTTTACCCTCATCATATCGTATTTGGTTTAATTGTAATGATTACAATCCCCTCCATGCATCATCATTCAACAGCATTTGCTGCCAAGCCATCTGGTGTTTTGTTTTGTTTTTTATGGATGTACACCAAAGCACTCAGAAATATATAACCATTCAAACAACCAAAGGGTACACCCTGCACACCAGCCCCCTGGCTGCCAGCACACAGCTCTTCTCCCTCCCTGCGTGCAGAGTCACCAGTCACTCCATCTCTCCATGTCATCGTCTCTGCCTCCATCTCTGACATCGCTGCTTCTCTGGATAGGGTCCCGCACTCTGATCTTCTCCCTTGATGGTTCCAGGGACCTCCACTCCTGGATTGCAAGATCAACCACTCCCCTCCCTTTTGTTACAAAACCATCTACCTTTGCATTTGCAACATTCACAACCAGTCCTGATAACAATTATTCACTATTGAACCACAAGAGTCATATCCCCATCTCCTTTCACCAGTCCCATCTAGACAGGTTGGAAACCACTCAGTGGAGATTCTACCTTCCCCTGCACCCTCTGAAACTAAACTCCCTCTTGAAAGCTTGTAAGCCAGTCACTTCATGCCGCGAAGACCAATCTTACAGTCTCAACCAGGTTTAGTACATCCTTAGCCTTTTTCACCCTTCTTCATGTCTTTTTTGTTTCTGAGGACTTTTTCCTCCTCTGCTGTGCAGAGCAGAAGAAGAGCCTTCTCCTCCAGGCACTTCACATTGTATGTATATTATATGTTGTAAAACTAGTTTAGATTCATTATTAAGGGTCTACAACTGGTCCACACCTCGAAGGAAACTACTTAGTGAGTCAGTCTAGAACTTTCTGGAGCTACACTGTTCCTCATCTAAGCCTATAAGAAGTATGCCACTGCATTCACTCAGTTATGAGCCAAACTTATTTCTTCTCCCAGATCCAGAACAGGTAGGAGACCCCGAATGGGCAATGGAGGTACAATTTGAGAGGTGCTGACATTTGTGCTTCAAAAGGACAAGATGTTCAAATAGACTGTGCCCTGCTGTTGTTATGAAGTGACACATAGTGACCCAGTATAGGGTTTCCAAAGCTGTAAAGCTTTGTGGGAGCAGAAAGCCTTATCTTTCTCCTGTGGCGAAGCTGTTGGGCTCAAATTGCTAACCTTGTAGTTTGAGGTCCAGTGTTTATCCTACTGAGCCATCGCACTTCCCAGACGGTATCCTAGGTGCCAGGAAATGGCATCAAGAGGTCAAAGGATCTAGAAGGAAAAAACGTAGATAAGAGTCTATACACTTGTCCTAGAAGAACAAAGTTTCTAGGACTCAGACATCTCAGCAGCTTTATTGGACTTTATGAGTTTCAGAAACAAGATTTTGCAGTGATATTTTATTTCTTGGATACAATTCATCAAAATCCTTTTGCAAATACAATCTATTCTCAGTCTTCCCAATTAAAGGAAGTCTCTCTACTTGTACTTAGAGGAGCTGGAAGGCAGAGGCAGTGGCCTTTGTGGAGGAAGGTTGGCCAACAAATATACAATGGGATGAGGAGAGTCTTGGAGACCTTATAAATATAGCTGCCGTTCAATCTGAATATCCTTCTGGAGTTCTCTTGCCTACCTTCTGGGGGATTACTTGTTCGGTTTAAAGACAGACCACCCTGCCAACACAAAGTGCTTGGTCAGTGATAATGGTTTGTGATAATGAATGAACAGGAAGTGCCTTGGTGAGTGACAGGGCCTTACATTTGCCATCACAAGCTGAGTTCTATGTAATCTCTGCTTTGCCTTGTATATCATGTGCTTGTAAAGCTGTTGGCCAGCCTGCTTGGATAATTCCATGTCTTTTCTCTTCCAGCACGCGATGAATGTAATCGGCATCTTTGCCGAGGAGCAAACGCTGGTGCTACAGATAGTGGCAGGAGTGCTCCACCTGGGAAACATCAGTTTCAAGGAAGTTGGCAATTACGCAGCGGTGGAGAGTGAAGAGTGTGCGTAACTTGAGCACGTAGCTGTAGAATGAAGGGAAATGATCCATTAGCTTCAATCAGAAGTAACCCACACTTTTCCTTTACAGAGATGTCAACCAGAGTATTCTGGGAAGGGATGTCAAATCTTATGTGTCCTATTCAGAGCACATGGGTGCCTTTCCTTTCTACCATCTCCCACATCCACCACTAGAGGCGACTGATGAAATCACTTGAATACCATTCACCTTGGGGAAATCTGGCAAATTTTCACTTCCAAGTTTAAAAACAGAGTGGTATCTTTAATTAAGATTAGAGTAATTGCTTAATTTAGTCTCCTAACGGCAACAATAGAAGATTTTTCTATAATTGGTCTTTAGGACCTAAATCAAATCCAAATCCTTGCCATTGAGTTGATGACCAACTCGTGCGGACCCTATGTCACAGAGGGATTTTTTTTTGGAAGAAGATTGCCAAGCCTTTTTTCTGTGGTGCCCCAGTGGTTTGAACCGCCAACCTTTTGGTGTTTGCAACACCAGGGACCTACAAAGGCAAGATATAGAGTATATGTAAATATGGAACACTCAAGGCTTCATAGTTTGACCCTGGGGTTTGGATTCAATTCCATTTTTTAAAAGAGAGGGGAGGGGGGTGTGTTAGCTGGTGTTTTGATGTTTCTTCTGACTACCTTTAATGAGGAGTGTTCAGAACTCATGTGTAGTATAGTCAGAACCTCAAGATCTGAATGGTCGTTTTGAATTTCTAGGAGGAAATCAAGGTCTTTCCACAGGGAGACGTTACTGGTTCTGTGTGCCTACAATCTACCACAGGCACATAAAATCTGTGGCCTGTGACAACTTCCTAGACATCACATGTCTATGCAGACTGCTCTCTGAGCCCACAGAGCCTTCAACCACCCAGGAAAGCAATTCTTCCTTTCTCAGCATTCTTCAAGGGTGATAAATTTAGACATTTAGTAATAAATAGTATCCCACTCACTGCTGACAATGCAGTGGGGATATTTCCATTCCAAATAAGGCTCTTCTTTTTTTTTCCTTTCTGTTTTTGTTTTCTTTTCTGATAAAGAGGAAAGTTCTGCTAACTTCTGATGTCTGTCTGATAAAAGAGAAAGATGGATTATGTTTAACAGGGAAGTGGGTGAGGTGGAAAGCAATAAATATCTGGGTTGTCTGTAAAATTTATAAACATGACTTAGTAATAATTATTATGTTTCTAGACTTGTGTGTACATCATCCATTACATCTAATAAGTGCACAATTGTGTCCAATCACTTAGCTTGCCCTTTAACACTGACGGTTTGGGTATGGTGGTGAGTTCGGTGGAAGTGGGCTGGATTTTCCTTGTCCTCTTGGCTGTTAAAATCCTTACTGCTTCTTTATGCTCGAGAACAAAGTCATGACGCTAAAACTGCAAGCATTCCCCTCTAAGTCTAAGCCAAGAGCTGGTTCATTTTACAGTGATGTTTGGAGGAAGTAGCCTGCTCAGCCAACTGGGTAAGACCCAGGATTAGCAGTGGATCATAGCATGTCCTAACTGAAGGTAGCAGAGGGATTGTTGTTGTTAGGTGCTGTCAAGTCAATTCTGACTCATAGTGACCCTGTACAGGGTTTCCAAGGTGTGACTGGTAGGTTTGCAATGCCAAACTTGTGGTTCACAGTCCAGTGCTTATCCTTTAACACCACATCAGTAGAGGGGATGAGATCAGAAAAGACTCTGCTTCATACCAGAGGTCTAACAATGAAGTGTCTCCTTCCCAATGATTTCCTTCTATGGATTTTGGGTTTTATTCAGGTGCTAATACACCTGGAAAAGGAGCTCTGGTAGCGTAGTGGTTACAAATTGGGCTGTGAACCGCAAGGTCAGCAGTTCGAAACTAGCAGCTGTTCTGCGGGAGAAAGATGAGGCTTTCTGCTCCCATAAAGATTTACAGCCTCGGAAACCCTGTTCAGGGTCGCTATGGGTCGGAAGCGACTCGACGGCACATAACAACAACAATACACCTGGTGTGGTGGTGTGAGATAATACGTCAGACTGCAGAATCGTTTGAACTGCAAGGTCAGTGGTTCAAGCTCACCAGCTGCTCCTTGGAAACCCTATACAGGGTCGCTATGGGTCGGAATCGACTCGATGGCACTTAGCAACAACAACAACAATACACTGATATGGTTCAAAATAGGTGTGCTTCCTTCTACCCTTTTGTCAGTCGATTTGTTTCCCTCCCTAAAGTCAACCCAGGTTCCGAGACTTGTGTTTCCTTCCAAGGGCATGCATTCTAAAATTACTGCACATTTCCTTTCTTTTTCCCACTTTTGTGCAATAGTGAAAGCATATAACACAATGTTCTATAGCTTGCTTTTCCACTTATGTATGTTGGAGATGTAGCTATGGTTTCATAAGGAGCTTCCTCCTTTTAAATAACCACATTGTGGTCCATCTCTTGGCTCTCCTCTAATGTCTTTAACCAGTAATCTGTTGATGAGCATTAAGATTGTTTCTGATCTTCTGCACCGGTCACCTGTGCCATCTTTCTCATATTTGAGTCTATCTATGAAGTAAATTTCTCGAAGGAAGTCCTAGCTCATGCTTTTATTATGGAAGAAAGCAAATTTTCTTCCATTCTATTAGAGGAAAAGAATGCTAAGATGTCCCAGCACAACTGACCTACTCAAGCAAAATCGCCTCTGCCATTGAGTGGATTGCACTCACAGTGAGCTGTAGGGGAGAGGAGAACTACTCCTTAGTGTGTTCAAGACAGGAAATCACTGCAAGAGCAGACAACCTGATCTTCCTCCCAAGAGTGACTGGTGGCTTTTGTACCACCAAGCTTTTGGATAGCCCCCAGCAAAGCAACTGTCAATAAAAACAAAATTTGTTGTTATCTGACTTTAGGCTAAATGGAATGGTAGAATTTTCTTAGTCAAATCTTTATATATTTTTGTGTGTGTGTATGTGTGTTGTTTTTTTTTAAATGTGGTAAATATATAGATAATGAAAAAGTTACCAATTTTTACATTATTAATTTACCATGTACACTTCAGTGCCGTTCATTGTTTCCATCATGTTGCTGTACCATCACCATTAACTGTTCCCAAATCTTCCCATCACCTTTAACAGAAGCTCAGTGCCCCTTAAAGATTCTTTCCAAATCTTTATGCTTTGGAGAAGGCAAACATGTGTAACTTCATTATAAATGTGGCATCACTATAGAAATAAGCTTTGCTCAAAAGATAATTGAATACCAAATTAACCTAAGAATTCTGTATAAAGGGGTGAAAAACCACTTATATAACAATGGGTTGTAGCTTTAACAGTGCCCTTTCTATCCCCTTTTATCGTTGGATAAAAGCACAGAGCCTTGGCACCAAAGACAGAGAAACCACAATGGTATTTTTCATTCCTCTTAAATTTGTCAAAGTGCAATTTTGCTTTGCTGCATCTTTTCCATTGTAAATTTCAATGGAAAAATTAAATCCAGCCTCGGTAGATACACTTTTAAAGCAGCAATAGAAATTGAGTTTCATTATGAGAAAGTGCTCAAATAGTACTACCTAGCACGGTCTCCTATGCTTTCTATCTCCAACTATGCCAGAGCCTCTCCTCGGAAACCCTGGACAGGGTTGCAATGAGTTGGAGCTGGCACATGGCACTTAACAACAACAACTGTACCAAAGTACATCTTTTAAATTAGTCCGTCCTTCCTCCTTCCTCCTTCCTCTTCCTCTACCTCCCTGCAGCCTCTCAGCTTCTACACTGTTGCTCTCCTCTGCTCACGCATGCCCTCAGGGGAATTCACAGCCTGAAGGAAGTCTATGGGAGCAGCCTTGTGATTTCACCATTGAAGAACTATCAGGCCGTATTTGAAAAACATAACATGGATCCACCCCCCACCTCCCAACTCCCTTCCCCTAAAGTACTGGGCTTCCTCTTTAGCCTTGTTGTTGCTAAGTGCCATTGAGTTGGTTCTGACTCATAGCCACCCAGTATAGGGTTTCGGAAGAGCAGCTGATGATTTTTTAATCGTGAACCTTGTGGTTCAAACTGACCTTGTGACCCAGTGCTTATCCTTTCCAAAAACACGTGGTTCTGATTCTTAGGCAAATCCATGCCTTATTTTTGGAGTGCCTGTAGCCCTTCAGTTCCATTCGCTTGTGCCCAAAGGTACCAGAGAAGAAAGTATCGCATGTGTGTTTGTCTGTCTCTTCTGTTTGTGTTGGTGTCTCTCAAAGACTCTTCATTTTAGCCTTCTTTGTTTGAGTTCTTAACCTACGAGCACAAAGACAGTGGCATACGCACTGTCACCAAGTGTTTTTACCATGTCCCCATTTTAGTATTAGGGATGTCAGAGACACCCCGTATGAGGGACTTCAAAACATTCATGGAAGAAATGGTGTTAAAAGATGATGGATTTTTTCCATGAACGTTTTGAAGTCCCCTCATAGTTACAAAACAGACAATTTTGAGGATTGTTTTACATTTTCTGGTATGTCGCTGGATGGTTTCACAAGATCAGTAGTTCAAACCCACCAGCTACTCCTTGGGAACCCTATACGGCTATGAGTTGGAACTGACTCGATCGCAGCTTCACTTAATATTGGAGTCCTGGTGTGGCGCTGTAGGTTAATGCGCTGGACTACAAAATTGGTTTGAACTTCAAGGTCAGCGGTTTAAGCTCACCATTCGCTCCTTGGAAACTCTATACAGAGTTACTATGGGTCGGAACCAACTCCATGGCACTTGACAACATACGTTTTCTAAAATGCACTATGGGGTTCCCACGTACAGTGAGAAGACCTCATGAGAGTGTTAACCCTAACAAATGAGATTAACCTACCCATGGTTGTCTGCCATGTGAGAAATCATAGCCGACATAGCTTCCCCTCAAGAAAGCCTCAGTTTTGTCAGATAGCTTGGTAAATGCTATTTAGATATTTTCTCTCAGTCTGATTTTTGTACCGCATCTATCTTTGCCCTGTGCAAAGGTTAAGTTTGACTAGAAAGGAAGACAAGCCAGAGTCCTACAGATGTGTGTTTAACATTTAAACTGATGTTGTTAAGTGCCACCGAGTCAGTTCCAATTCATAGTGACCCTGTATAGGGTTTCTGAGGAGCGGTTAGTGAGCTTGAATTGCCAACCTTGCAGTCCAGCACATAAACCCAAAGCACCACCCCAGGACTAAACTAGACCACGGGAAATGGTCATTGGCAACTGCATTGAGTTTGGGTTTTCTACTTGTCCTTTGGTGGAAGGGAGTTGGGCAGCTAACCTGAAGGTCAGTGGTTCAAAACCATTCAGTAAGAGAAAAGTGAGGCTGTCTGCTTCCGTAAAGATTTACAGTCTCAGAAATGCTTGTATATGGTCGCTGTATTGGAAGTGACTCCGTAGGAGTGGGTTTGTGGCAGGAAACCCCACCACAGGTCACAGCAATTTTGTGGAATACCTCACATACATAATAAGTACCTTGTCCTAGCATCGTAACTTTTTCAACATGTATTTACTGACTTCGTTCCATTGGACAGTGTATGCTGAACATTAGCAGCCCATTGCATTGTAATACCATCTGTGAGAGGCACATAGGTTCTCCTTTATTGGAAGGATCTGACATTTTGAGCATTATTCTGAAGTCTTTTATAGAATTCTTGTATCAGTAGAAATTGAGTCCATAGATATCTTTTCTCAAACGGGAAAATCTGAGCATGTTTGTGTGTTTGTTTGTTTTTAATGACCAAGAATTAAATACTAAATTAATTTAACCAGAGTCAACAAATGTCCATATATGTCACTGTATAGGGTTTCCAAGACTGTAAATCTTTATGGGAGCAGAAAGCCTCATCTTTCTCCCGCGGAGCCCCTGGTAATTTCAAACTGCTGACCGTGTGCCCAACTTGTAACCACTGTGCTACCAGAGCTGCTTTATAGGTCATCAGCCCTGCTCTCAACAACTAAAGCATCACCTAAAATAAGTTGCTGGGCCCTGAGAGTCCTATATTCATCTTTTAGTAGGCTTCTTTATTTACTGTCTTTGCCTCATCTATATTGTCTTCAAAATTCCTTAAATATTTTGTGTTTAGTAATCTGGCACATGGTAGATAAATTATACATGATTTGTTGTAGCTATTAAAGGTACCCTGATGATGCCATGGACTAGGTTGGCATTTCAAGCCCACTAGCCACTCCATGGGAGAAGAAAAGTGGTCTACTCTCATAAAGATTCAGTCTCCAAAACCCTACAGAGCCGCTCGATTCTGCTCTTACAGGGTCACTGTGAGTTGGGATCAACTCAATGGCAGTGGGTCTTTTAGGTTTGCGTTGTAATCATTCATTCAGTGATATCAGTTGCTTGAAACTCTTTGGCAATGAAGCTATGAAAACACGGTACCAAAAAGGGAAGAAAACAATATTTGAAGCCAAAGAAATGTTTCTTGAGTTAGTTCCTTCCTGCTTCCTGGCGGTCTTGCTGCGTACAAGCTTGGAGAGGTCCATTTTAGGCATGTAGTTGTGAGCTCCGTAGGGGGAGATTGGTTTGCTGTCCATCTTGGGTCACTGGTTTGTATTATTGAAAGTCCCAATCGTTCTAGGGATTGACTCATGTAAGAAAACAACTGGAACAAAGTGGATCGGTGTTTGTGGAATTGCTGATAAGCAATTGTCGCAAGATTGTACGTTTTGGGGCGTTAATAATGGTTCCTTGCATTTACACATGCTCATACATACTGTCACATGTTTGTGAAATCAATCTTTCAAGATCTGAAAGGTAATCATACTTTGTTTTGTTTTTCTATAGTTTTGGCATTTCCTGCATATCTCGTGGGGATAAGCCAGGACCGATTGAAAGAAAAGCTCACAAGCCGGCAGATGGATAGTAAATGGGGAGGAAAATCAGAGTCCATCCACGTGACGCTCAATGTGGAGCAGGCCTGTTACACCAGGGACGCGCTCGCCAAGGCCCTGCATGCCCGCCTCTTTGATTTCTTAGTGGATGTAAGTAGACACAAGCCAACTTTGGTGATGCTTCATATTTTAACTCCAAAGAGTACAACTACTAAAGATTTGTTTTCATGTTTGAGTTCATCCTTTTAATCAACTACTCTACTCTACTTTTTATCCTCTTACCCTCAAATCATTGCTACTTTTTCAATTGCCCTCCAAGACCTGTTAGCTGAAATAAATATGGTAACAGCTTCTGGTAGACAAAATCCAGGATTGTTGTTGTTAAGTGCTATTGAATGGTTCTGAATCATAGCGGCACTGTATAGGGTTTTTGAGGAGAAACTAGTGGGCTTGAACAACTGACCTTGCAGTTAGCCATCCAGTGTTTATCCTACAGTACCACACCAGGACTCCAAATCCAGGATTAGAGACCCTAAAAAATGTAGAGACCTTTTGAGTAGTGAGCCTAAATATGTTAGGAATATCATATTTGTTATTTATTGCTGTGTTGGAGTCCAGATGTGGTGCTGTGGATTAATGCACTGGACTGCAAAGTCACATTTCAACCACAAGGTTGGCGGTTCAAGCTCACCCGTTGCTCCTTGGAAGCCCTACACAGGGTCACTGTGGGTCAAAAACAAATTGACGGCACTTAACAACAACAACAAATTACAAATGATCTTAAAACATTAGACATTTATTCTCTCAGAGTGTCTGTGGGTCAGATAATTAGGAGCTTCCTACCTGGCCGACTCAGTCTCTCACAAGGTTGCTGTCCAGGTGATTTGCTGGGGGCTGGAGGATCTCCTTTTAAGATGGCATACTCGCGTGGCTGTTGCCTGGAGGCCTCAGTTC